GACCGATCAAGTGAGACGTTGGTTCCTCCCCCCCGAACCTCCTTATCACCCGAAAAGTGTTCGTATAGGTATACATATATATATATGTGTGTGTGCGTGCCTGTGTGTATGCCTATGTATGTACGTCTGTGTGTCTGTGTTTGTGTTTGCGTCTGTGTCTGTGTCTGTGTCTGTGCCTGTGTCTGTGTCTGTGTCTGTGCCTGTGGTTGAGCCTGTGGTTGTGCCTTTGCCCGTGCCTGTGCCTATGCCTGTGTCTGGGCCTGTGCCGGGTGCCTGCGCCTGTGCGCCTGTGCGCCTGCGCCTGTGCCTGTGCGCCTGTGCGCCTGTGCGCCTGTGCGACTGTGCGCCGGTGCGCCTGTGCGCCTGTGCGCCTGTGCGCCTGTGCGCCTGTGCCTGTGCCTGTGTCTGTGTCTGTACCTGTGTCTGTGTCTGTGTCTGTGTCCATGTCTGCGTCTGTGTCTGTGTCCGTGTCTGTGTCTGCGTCTGTGTCTGCGTCTGTGTCTGTCTCTATGTCTGTGTCTGTGCTTATGTCGGTGCCTGTGCCTGTGTTTGTGTGTGTGTCTGTGTCTGTGTCTGTGTCTGCGTCTGTGCCTGTGTCTGTGCCTGTGTCTGTGCCTGTGCCTGAGTCTGTGTCTGTGTCCATGTCTGCATCTATGTCTGCGTCTGTGTCTGTGTCTGCGTCTGTGTCTGCGTCTGTGTCTGTTTCTATGTCTGTGTCTGTGCTTGTGTCGGTGCCTGTGCCTGTGTTTGTGTTTGTGTCTGTGTCTGTGTCTGTGTCTGTGTCTGTGCCTGTGTCTGTGCCTGTGTCTGTGTCTGTCTGTGCCTGTGCCTGAGTCTGTGTCTGTGTTTGCGTCTGTGTATGTGTCTGTGTCTGTCTGTGTCTGCGTCTGTGTCTGTGTCTGTGCCTGTGCCTGTGTCTGTGTCTGTGTCTGTGCCTGTGCCTGTGCCTGTGCCTGTGCCTGTGCTTGTGCCTGCGCCTGCGCCTGCGCCTGTGTTTGTGTCCGTGTCTGTGTCTGTGTCTGTTTTTGTCTATGTCTGTGTCTGTGTCTGCGTCTGTGTCTGTGTCTGTGCCTGTGTCTGTGCCTGTGTCTGTGTTTGTGTCTGCGCCTGAGCCTGTGCCTGTGCCTGTGCCTGTGCCTGCGCCTGCGCCTGTGCCTGTGCCTTTGCCTACGCCTGTGTCTGTGTCTGTGTCTTTGTCTGTGGCTGTGGCTGTGGGGGGCTTCTGAGAAGCTCGGGAAGCGGGGGGGGTCGGCCGCAGCAGCCGCTCGGGCCGTGAGCGCCTCAGCCCCCCCAGGAAAGAGCAGGGGGGAAGAGGAGGCCAGAGGGCGATGTGTAGACATAGACAAATAGATAAACTGGCAGATCTATACATAGAGATGTGTATATATATATAGAGAGAGAGATGAATAGGTGTATATATATATACATATACATGCATACATATATGTATATATACATATATAGATAGGCAGATAGATAGAGAGAGAAGGGTATACATCTTCCTCTTCCTATATTCTTACAAACCCAGGCGGGGGGAAAACCCGTCACCCACCCACCCACCCCCAAAACCGGACTCCCGGGATCTGGTGTTTTGGACCCTCTGGATGGGCCTCGAAGCGGCCCCCCGGACCTCGCAGGGCGTTTTGCCAAGCCTTCCCAGCACACCTAGGGCGATCAGGGGGGTCATCGGAGACGTCCCAGAGACACCCAAGACAGCACAAGAGCGCTCCAAGAGTGGCCGACGTGACCTCAAGATGGCCCAAGAGGCCTCCAGGATGGCCCCAAAGAGGCCTCCAAGAGCACTCCCAAGAAGGCCCCAAGAGGCAAAAATCATTGATGTTCTGTTGGTTTTGGGGGGTTCTCCTCTTTTCGGCTTCCCGACGCTCCAAGACGGCGCTCTTCTGGGCGTCCGAAGCCGCCTGGGAGGCTCCAAAATCGCCCCACAACCATCCGAAAAGGCTTCCAGGCAGTCCAAGAGAGCCCCAAAACGGCACAACACGGGTAAAAGATGGCCCTCAGAGAGCCCCATGGCGGCCCAAGATGGCCCCAAGACACCCTCCGAAGCATTCCAAATCGTGGCCCGGTCGTTCAGGGAGACCGCGGTTGGAGGCAGGATGGCCCGAGGAAGCCCCCAGAGGCCCCCAGAATACGCCCAGGAGGCCTCCAGAAGGCCTTAAGAAAGCCTGAAACAACTTTTGTGAGGCCCCCAGAGGCTCTCCAAGGAGGAGCCTCCGCAAAAAAAAGCTGAAGAGGATGGGGAGAATGCGCAGGGTAGGGCGAAAATGAGGAAAAGAAGCATGGAGGAAGGATAGCGAATAACATTACTATAGCGACAATGCCGAAAAAGGCAACAAGGAGTTATCGCTAAGTTGTCGGTTTGACCTTCCTGCTATACCGCCTCCATGCCACAATTCAAGGACCAAGGTGCATGGCGCGAAGCGCCACTACAGTTTTGTGAATATATATATATATATATATATATATATATATATATATACGTGTATATGACTACGTACGTATGAATGTGACTCTGTGTTTGCTCCCAACCATCAGGTGGTATTGGGTCCTCGTTTTGAAGAGACGGTGCCCCGCGTTCCTCCTCCTTCTCCTCTCCTCCTCCCTCCTCCCTGCGTTTCACCCACCCAGTACAGCGCTTCGTGGCCCCATAGGGAGCCCCACCGAAGGCCCAAGTGGGAAAGTTCGCATGGCGGCCTCGGGCCAGTTCGGCGCACCCCTCACGAGGATCGTGGCCCCGTAGGGAGCTCCACCGAAGGCCCCAGTGGGAAAGTTCGCATGGCGGCCTCGGGCCAGTTCGGCGCACCCCTCACGAGGATCGTAGCCCCATAGGGAGCCCCACCGAAGGCCCCAGTGGGAAAGCTCGCATGGCGGCCTCGGGCCAGTTCGGCGCACCCCTCACGAGGATCGTGCTCCACCGAAGGCCTCGGGCAGTTCGGCGCACCCTCACGAGGATCGTAGCCCCATAGGGAGCCCCACCGAAGGCCCCAGTGGGAAAGTTCGCATGGCGGCCTCGGGCCAGTTCGGCGCACCCCTCACGAGGATCGTAGCCCCATAGGGAGCTCCACCGAAGGCCCCAGTGGGAAAGTTCGCATGGCGGCCTCGGGCCAGTTCGGCGCACC